CCCCCCCCCCCCCCCCCCCCCCCCCCCCCCCCCCCCCTTTTATACGTCCGGAGGTTAATCTATTTTTGCTGTTAGTTCATGTTGGAAAGTTTCGCTTTCCGGCTGGCGCATATTAGAGTGGATGTGTTTTAACGACTGGGCAAAATCTCGTAACAGGAGAAATCTTACTTACATAATTCTCTTGGACTTTCTCCAAAGCGTTTTGACAGTCTTGCACAGAGACGTCTGCTTCATAAATTAGAAAGATGCGGTATTGACGGCCCTCTTCTCAACTGGTTGTATAATTGTAAATGTATAATTGCCTTCAGCCATGGCAGTGTTCCATGTTATGTTGAAAATTTATGTGTAATTTAGCTGAGATTCAAACTGATATGTTAACCCTAACAATTTAGCGAAGCAACATAGCATTATTTTCAATCCCGACCTTGGAACAGGACACGTTTTTTGCATCAAATGGAACCTCGGAAAAAAATCCGAGCCCCAGATAGAAGTCGAACCAATCGTGATCCAGTTGGATGCTCTAACCATTGATCATGAGCTACTTGGAGTCTCGATGATGAGCAAGGCTGAAATGTGGGTCTTTTACAGTTCAGCTGCATCGCACTTTTTGATTACATTCCAGAAATAGACCATATTTTTGTAAAATGGGGTTGACAGGCCTGCACGACTTTCCAAAGCGGGTTTAAAATAGCCTTTTTCATAGTTTAAAAGGGTCATTTGCCCTTTAGCCTGTTCCAGGCTCTAAGATAGTGTCAGGACGCAAAAGTGAAAGGTACGCGAAAGGGGGAGCTAGGCGGGAAAAAGGAAATGAGCCTGTAATCATTTCAAAGTATGATACCATCAACTGACGTGATACAGCTTACTTTGACTCCGAAGACGAGTACTGCACAGGTTGTCGAATCGTCAATCACTGTCAACAACAACAGTCCTATTCAGGACTACCGTTCACCCGGACGATCAAACTCAACCTACTTATGTAAAGTTCTATTGCGGCTAGACTGGAGGGTTTTAGGTTGTTTAATTTTCTCCATACTGCCTTCTGGATCTGAATAACTAAAAGGCGATTTTCTTTCGTCCGTGAATGTGATAGTTTCTTGCAATGTTTTTTCATGCTGAGTCCAGCTCGTTAGATGTTTTAAAATTCTCACGGATAGTGATTTACAAATCTAAATTCCTTAGAGTGGATTGCAACTTAAACTGAGGCTTCATGGAGAATTATGTTGTGAGTCAGTCATGACTGCTCATTAAGCTATGATTTTTAAACACCAGCTTGTTTTCTAAATGTAATGCGAGTCTTTCCAAATGTGGACCCCGCTGAAAAATCAAGCTTTTGCCGAAGCTGTTCGCGATCGGCAGGATTGCAAAAAGCACCTTTTCCACTAGCCAAGTTCACAAGGCAGGTCGTCTGTTCCTTCCTCAACACTCCTATGTGAGAGAAATCTCGTAAATAACGTTCGTTGAACATAGAGGTTATCGTGGATTTCTCTATTTTACGCGCGTAGACGCCGCACGCCACCTCTCTGAGTGATAGAAACGACCCGCATTAAGAATTGTTGATGTAACGTGTCAATCTGACCAATCAGAGGGTATACCTTGAGCTGGTATACCAGAACAAGCCGTTTAAAAGAATGATTACAGGCTCCGCCGCCCTTCCTCTCCCCAGTATTTTCCCGTTTCATTTTCATGTTCAAGCTCTCTCAATCTCCGCGGACCCGACTATCTCGGAGCCTGGAACAGGCTATTTACAACGGTAAATGTGAACCCGTATAACCGCAACTTATATAAACTTCAGTGAAATACCAGGTAAGCTTTCGCACGAAAAAATGATATCTTCACACGTGAAAAGATCACCGTTGCTATGGCTGCATAATAAATCGCGCCTTTCGCATGAAAAAGAGTTAAAGTGGAATGGCTTTGTATTTCATTGGTGTTTATATCATAAATACTACATGGGCACTTGCAGGTACTAAATTTCTCTTCGAGTGTTGAATTTTTCAAGGCTCGAAGAGAAATTTATTATCTCCAAGTAACCATGCAATATCTTGTATATCCGAGGTCGTAATACATTCTAAACTCGATCCCTATCATGAAAAACCCCAGATTCTATGACCACCTTCATCTCTTTCCCCTGAGCCTTGTCCTCTTAATTACTCCACGTGTTCAACTTTAAGTTTCAACTTAGTTTAAATATTTCGCGTCCAAATGTTTTTCAGAGAAGTGGAAGAAGATCAGTACTGGCCAAGTCTGCTTTGGAGCTCGAGATAACTCATATGGGGCTTTCAACATCAAAGAGAATGGGGTCATTTATACCTTTAAACTCGTTCATCTGAGTGGGTCAGTTAGATGTAACCCCTCTATCCAACCTTCTAATTGGGGATGTGACAATCCCTGGTATAAAGACAAGAGACTCCTAACCGTCATAACGTTCAAGAACAGATCCGCTCTTTTGTTGGCAGATTACACAAAACGTTGTGGCTATCCATATAAGATCGAAGGTGTAGGTGTTAATGACAAGGAACTTCGATTTAACAATCTTCCCACTCTAATATCTGTGTCTGTTGGAGATGAGTTTCAAATTTGGTACGGACAAGACTTAAATAACTGTTCAGAAGAAAACAACAGCGGTCAGACATGTGCTGATGTTTATGCGTGGTACGCGTGAATTAAAGAATAAACAATATGCAACAGGGAAACCTTTAAAATGCAAATGCATTTCAATCTAATGGATTAAATGATGGCTGACTTTTATGTTCTGTAAGCCCTGTTTCAAAAGTGTTCTCTGTTCATGGAAGCAAGCTCACAGCAAGGGCTATTGAAACTAGAGAACCGTACATTTTGGCGATAAATCAAGTAGAAAGAAAATCTTTAATAAGTAAATTCAATAAAGGCAGCTAAGAATTTGGAATGTATATACACAGGAACCTCAGCATAACGAACCTCGATATAACGAAGTCCTCAGTATAACGAAGGATTTGTTTTTTTTTTAATTGATGAAGTTTTGGATTTTATAAAGCTCTTGCTTATAGCTGTATACCGGGCAAAAATTATTAGAACAAGCAACCTCGTTTCCAGTGTTTTCTCTCATACCTTGAGAAAGAATTCTGGTTGCTGCTAGTCACGTGGCTCCCACGGTGGTGTTGCCTCAAGGACCTCAAGGGTGGGGTAGTACGTATACTCTGTTTCCTAACAGGTCCGCCGAGATGACTGACGGCAGCGAAAAACGAAAACATCAGTTAACTTTTGAACTTCAGAGTTCGCGTGTTTTTAAAAATCCTACCCCGATGAGGAGTCCATTATCACAGAAAGTCACATGACCAGCTGCAACCAGAGTTCTTTCTCGAGGCAAGAGAGAACCCTGGGAACGAGATTATAGAATAATCAAATTCCTCAGACGTTCCCGTTGTGCAACCGCAAAAGAAACGTAGCAGGTATGAAATGAGAAATGGTTTTGAAGCCTGTCAGATCTCTTTGTTATATGTTTTTCTTAGCCTTTTCGGACATGACGGTGTACAACATTCAATGACTTTCCTATCATTTTGCTTTTTTTGTTTGTTTGTTGTTGTTGTTGTTTTTTTACAACGTTGCATTAATTTACTCAATCCATTTCTTAACAATTTTTTGAGCTTCCAACTTAATCAAGATAAACTGCGGCACCGTTGATTTGATCCTTTAAGTTTGCCGGCTTTAATAACCAGTTTCCTCTACTAAGGTTGCAAATATGATGGGACATGATGGTATATACCCCATTTGCATGCTAATGTATATGTATCACATATTCTTTACAGATGTATACTGCTACAAAGAGCATACTACTTACTTAAATAGTGGATCTTTTTTGGCCAATAGTTTATTTTAAGCTGTTTTCGTATGTTAGCTATTTTGTCCCTTTTCTTTAGGCTTACAGTAATCAAAAAATTATAAATGTAACAGAATTTGTCCATAACAGATTTGCTCACAAAGTAATGAGCCAGAGGGTATTGTAAATGTTTAGAATGCACAGTATTTATGCAGAATTCCAGGACCAGTTATTAGTGTCTCAGGTAAACTGAAAGCTGTAATCTCTCAATCTTTGATCGCACGTTTATATTTGTGTAATAAATTATGACTGTCTTACTATAAACTCTTTCCTGGCTTCGTTATTTGTAGGCCCAGATATCTTTTTTGCATGGATAAAGTTTAAAACGTACACCGTTGCATTCACAGTTAAATTTCCTAGATTTTCTACGTCTGAATATACAGGTGATTTTACCCTCGAAAACTCATCCCTTGTTCTTACTGGGATTTGGTTCTCAGTTCCCGGTTTTGCTGTGTTGTCGAGTCCATTCGTAAAAAGGAACAATATCAGCAAAGTTTTTTTGAAAACATAAGTGCCATTTATGACTATGCTGCCTTTGATTGTTAAAAGGTCCGTAATTTTTAGATGTAGGCTCAACAAAAGAAACCGCTAAAGGTGGATTAACTTCGTCTCGGGAAACATCAGGACTCTCGGGAAAACAAAACTAACCGTTTCCCTCGGGATCTGACATTAAGTGTATAATATTCTTCGTCTTCTTCGACTTCGTGTCGGGAAACATCAGGACTCGAGGGAAAACAAAACTAACTGGTCTTCCCGAGGGTCCTGACATTAAGTGTTTTGTTATATCTCTAGACTTTCACTTCAACAGCGTCAAAAGAATAACCGGATCGAACCAAAACAGTCGACTCGGTACTTATATGTTTAACAACACAAATTTAATTCTTCACTTTCCTTATACATGTTATATTTTCTACATCTTTTCCTCCACTAGCTGCTGTTTCTCTTCTGGGATGACTTCAAAAATCGTTGCTTTTTAGCTTGAGGCGTCGTGTTTGTGTTCAAGTTGTTGTGTTCATTCACGAAAAAGAAAACTGGCAGTGTTTTTTCCGCCTTCTGTCACACCACTTTCCACCATGCTTTGATCACGNATGTAGGCTCAACAAAAGAAACCGCTAAAGGTGGATTAACTTCGTCTCGGGAAACATCAGGACTCTCGGGAAAACAAAACTAACCGTTTCCCTCGGGATCTGACATTAAGTGTATAATATTCTTCGTCTTCTTCGACTTCGTGTCGGGAAACATCAGGACTCGAGGGAAAACAAAACTAACTGGTCTTCCCGAGGGTCCTGACATTAAGTGTTTTGTTATATCTCTAGACTTTCACTTCAACAGCGTCAAAAGAATAACCGGATCGAACCAAAACAGTCGACTCGGTACTTATATGTTTAACAACACAAATTTAATTCTTCACTTTCCTTATACATGTTATATTTTCTACATCTTTTCCTCCACTAGCTGCTGTTTCTCTTCTGGGATGACTTCAAAAATCGTTGCTTTTTAGCTTGAGGCGTCGTGTTTGTGTTCAAGTTGTTGTGTTCATTCACGAAAAAGAAAACTGGCAGTGTTTTTTCCGCCTTCTGTCACACCACTTTCCACCATGCTTTGATCACGTGCTGTAATGTAGTCCCAGCGGGGTACATTGCTGTTGTCCAGGGGCTGAATTTGTTTCCTCAAGTACAGTACTGTTTGCCCGAGGGTAAGAGTCTTTCTGTCATAATAATTTCCCAAATTCAGGGTGAGTAATTCCCGTGGTGTATACTCCATTATGAGTATGCTGCGGACGGTCTGTCATCAGTCGTATGAAGTTGCTCCCTCCTGATCTGAAACTCCGTCTATTCTATTTTTCTCGTCGGTGTTCTTTCCTTGTTGTTGGATCTCTTTTTATTTCCGGTTCCTCTCTCTTAGGAAGAAAGAAAGGAAGAAAGGAAATAGCGGAGCGGGAAATCAAAACGGAAACGGAAGTGGGTTTGGGGTTAGTCATGTAATTCCTGTATTAGCACCTAAAAATCCCACTCTTGGGTTGGCTAGATGGAGCTCCCGACCAGGAGGAAAACGAGCGTTGAACGGCACTGGAAGCATGTTTTGTTGCCGGACGTTTTGCCACTGTTTGGGCGTTAATGTTAAGGTTTCCTGAGGAGTTCATTGCTTGCGGCCTCCATAATGAACAATCCACATGCCCGTTGGCAGAGAGGATCCTCGGCTGGATCTATCATAAATTGGATATTTTATTGTTCTATCGACCGTTCTCTGGCTCGGAGGTATTGCCTTATGGGAAAAGGGATAGGTTCAAATATCTTTTCTCGCCCTCTAACAATGATACGGAAAGTTTCTCTTCGATGTGTGACCTCACAGGCTGCCCGAACCAGGCCAAGTGTTTACTCTGTACCCTTACACCAACAGCCAGAAAGTGAACATTTCACGCTCCTTGGTTTCCTTGTAGGGGTGGCAATCTCAATGGCCCTGGTGGGTCTACATCTCTGGGCTGGAAAAGAAGCGGCGCAGCCTTGCCCTACTTCTCGTTGGATGAAGTAGTTAAGTCGGCAGGTGTGGCTGCCAACTTGGCAGATCTTCGTTTTGATACTGGTGAAGGCTACAATCGTTTCATTGATACTTTGCGGGGTTTCTATATATCAGACTCTCTTGGCTAAATCTCTTAAAAGCGAGTCAAGAAAAAAAAAGTGTATTATAAAACTTTAAACTCTCTAATCGTGAGGAATGTTCAGTTGGTGACAGTAAAGGAATAAATGCAACGTAGCTTGTAAAGGTTGCATTTGTTGGATTTGGAGGGTTGGGATAAGGATTGGGAAGAGAGGTTGGTTATTGGCAGCGGCTTCACGGTTATTGCGTTCTTATACAATGGCGTATAAAGTGGTAGCTTGGGGAAGGTCAGATTGACTCCCCATACCTTATTATAATGTCATGAATAACAATACCCAGGGATGAATATTATACTATTTTAATCCGAAAAGTCTCCATATGTAGGGATTTCCTCTCCCTCTATCGCTCTACAGGCGGTACTCCCAGGCTTCATGAGGTGACGATATCCATTTCTAGTTGAATGAATAAAGATAGCGCTTATTCTACATATTTTAAACTGAAGATTGTCTATATGTAGGGATTTCCTTTCCCTCTATCGGTCTACAGGCGGCATGCCCAGACTTCATGAGGTTACGATATCCATTTGTAGCTGAATGAAAAAGAATAGCACTTATTCTAAATATTTTAAACCGAAAAAATAAAAGTCTTTATATGTAGGGGTTTCCTCTCCCGCAGTTGAATGGATAAATATTTATTATAGCATTAATTCTAAATATTTTAAACCGATAAGTCTTTATATGTAGGGATTTCCACTCCCTCTATCGGTCTACAGGCGCACGCCCAGATTTTATGAGGTGACGATATCCATTTGTAGTTGAATGAATAAATATAGCGTTAATTCTAAACATTTCAAACCGAAAAGTCTGTATATGTAGGGATTTCCTCTCGCTCTAACGGTCTTCAGGCGGCACGCCCAGACTTCTTGATGAAATCTATTTGAGCCAGAACTTCAACACGCTGTAAAGATTGCGCTTAAAACTTTGCTTTCAAGCAAGAAAATTTGTATTCATTAGGCATAAATTCCATTTGAAACAGTTGTCTTAACTTTAAGCAGTGTGAGAGTAGTGAGCGATCACTCTTCCTTCCCCTATCCACTCCCGATATTAGCTAAATAATGCGAATGATACCGAGGAAGCCTATTTAAAGGCCATGAGAGAAAGATTAGTTAAGATTTGATAAGATATTTGTCCTTTGTGACTTATCGCTGA